TTTGCACAGGTATCCCAGCGAAGGGAGAGACTCTTCTTTCGCTGCACCGTTGCGCCGTTGCTCCGTTGTTCCGTTGCTCCGTTGCTCCGGTGTATCGTGTTCCGTGTACACTACCGTGCACAAGTATTTCGACATCTACAACGAGATCTTGTTAACCCTTTGCACTCCGGATGGTAGATGTTACGGAACAAAGCTGTTTTGTCTTTTAACGTCTTTTAACGTCTTTTAACGTTTCACGTGCCGATGCATCAACGATACTTTGTACGAGATATCGAAGCTCGTCGTTTCGCTGTAAGTGGCAGTAACCCTTTTCGCATTTATTCCGTTCATTATCGTATCAAACTAACAGGATTAAGAGACATCGAAGCACGGATATGTGGCTGAAAAATTTTAAGCGACAGGATTAATAGATTAGCGACTAAGCGGAGATAGTGGACAACTGTATTATTACGACGCGTCGCAATAAAATATTATCGTTCTCTCGCGAACACGTAACCTTTGCGGTAAACGTAGACTTACAATGGACTCGGAATTATTTTTCTCGAGCGAAGGATAATGCAGCTTTAAAGGGGATAGTTGTGGGAGAAATCGGTTAGGCAAGGATTTAATGTCTCCATCGTGAATAATGTCATCGTTGGAACTATATTGGACCGTTTTATTTAAAGAGTTACTCGACTTTCGAGCTTGTCTAGCGACGCGAACGTGTCCGAAGACTTGTGCACGGCAGTGTACGCGCGAGAAAGGTGGAACCCGGTTCGCCGCTCGATCCCAGGGCCCCTACATGGCGAGCCACGGAAAAAATCGCAGAATTTAAATCACCCGACGACCGGCTGATAAATTTCACGCGCGGATTCGGGATCCGCGTGCTTGAGCTTGAGTTATACGGGGATCGCGGTTGTTACTCGGAGTTTATTGGAAGCAGCTATTAACGGCGAGGGAAAAATGCTCGGCGATTTATCGTACGAGGTGACTCGCTTGAATCAAGCTTTTAAATTATGTCCATTTCTGCGAAGGAAAGTGGCACCGAGTAACCAAGGGTTTATCGTAATTACGGAGTTCGTTGCGCGATACCGTATCAGCTGGAATTATTATTTATTATTATATTATTTGTAACGAATAACGTAACACCCGAGTTTCGGTTGTTTAATTTAGACAGATTCGGAATTTATTAGACAGCAATCGACTTCGCTGCAATGAACGACTGCAACATGTACGTCGACGTCTACCTTCTCGGGAACAATACGTTGAACCGTAGAATGCAAACGACGTTAGCGCGAGAAATGGTGTTCGCGGATCAGGCTCCTCTCGACCTATGATCCATAAACAGCGCTCGTCCGATCGGGAGCAATAATTTCTGTCAAGTGCTGCAAGTAGACCATAAAGGAATTGAATCTCTCGTGGTAGACCCTTGGCGAGCAGATGTGTCCGAACCCACGGAACCGGTGAAAGAACCTCGGCCGACAGTGCCCGCGAGAAGGGAGCGGCTCGAGGACGGAGAGAGAGAGAGAGAGACGGGCCGAGGGAGCGGAGAGAACGAGTCTCGATGAAACCCGTGGCTGCTGCCGCTGTACCCCATCATTAGCCCCAGCCAAGGGTCGAACCCTTAATCTCCCGACGAGTCTCTCGCGTTTTTCCATTTTTCTCGGGACACCTGGCTGCCGCGGGTATCGGCGCGATAGCAGGTGATCAGATTCGACTGGCCGGCGCGCAAGGTGTGCCATGGCGAAACGGAGACCGAGAGAGAGAGAGAGAGAGTGAGGGAGAGCCCGGGCTTCAACGATCGTGGCTGCGATCTCTTCTGAATCTTTTATTAGGCGCTCCGAGCGTTAACGAGTTCGTTAGAGACCGCTGACCACTGCTACCACGTTTAGCGAAACCGTAGTCTCGATCGGCCTTTGGAGAACTGGCCCATTTATCTTTGATTCGAACTCGAGTCGGGGTTACTTAATTTAGCTGCAATTCGGTATAACCATTTGCCAGTTTGTTCGAGCATGTTGTGCAACTTCTGGAGTCGTACTCGTACGTGTCGGCGCGACTTTGCGTGCATTCGCAGGGAAAATTAGCTGCTCGAAGTTAAAAGGCTGGCTAGTAAAAATTTATATAAATACTCGATCGAACGTGTGAAATAATTGGATATTACGGTTTTTACGGTTTTTACGTTTTTCGCATTTCGCTCCGCGAAACGAAGCTGCGTTCGACGCTGTTAATCGAGGTCCTGTGTAGCAGCTACGTGCACACGGACGCGTTCCATACACGCGCCGAGGAGAAGTGTTAACGGGGTCGCGTGTTGCACCGAGACCAAGAACAGGAGAAAAAATGCAAATGAATATCTCACGCGAAAGTTGCGCAACGCGCGTCTCCGACGAAGGCCGATCCGCTCCGTAACCTTGCAGTTCACGCGACGAACGTCTCTGAATCGAACGCGACACGGCGGAGGCTAACTCGTTATTCCTTCCGTAATTAAGGCAGCTTGGCCGAGACAAGACGAGGATAAGGGGCTTGGGGCAGCGACGACGAGAGAAGAGAGTTTTTAATTAACGAATAATCACGGGCTCGCCCGAAGACAATGGCTCGTGAAAGCGATCCGCGCCGGATCGCCGAACCGAGAACATTGATGGGAGGATCGTTAAAGGGGTGACCCGTGACTTTCTTCGGGTGCAGTCATCGCGCAACAATGCTCGGGGTGTTTCCTAAATTACGATACAACCAGGAAGCGCGCTTCCACGGAATTCTTCCTTGTTTCCTGTCAACGATCGATGGCAAAAACCGATTCTGGCGGGCGCGATTTTCAAAGAGATTACGGGGTTCACTGCCGCGGTGATCACCGGTCACCGGAGTTTCCGAAAACTGAAATCGAAGCGAACCATTCCAGTATTTATATTTTATTCTGTGTTTTTCGTGCGCGAACACCCTGTATGTATCGTTCAGAAGCAGCTTCAGCGATCACGGAATCGCTCTTTCGTGTACGGTCGTGGCGCGCGAGGTCTCGTTGTCGCGTTGCGTTAACGGGGGGACCTGAAAGGGGATTTCACGCGTCGATTCCTCGACATTTCGTTCCGAGTCGACGTCGAGAATTGGTCAGAAGCACACTCGGCGTGATATTTCGGTCCCCGCCCTTTCGCTGGTTCTTTGTTCGTTCCCATTGTACTTGTCATGCCATTCGCGAAACCTTCACGCTAGAAGCGCGCGAGAATTAGAAAATATCGTTGATAATATCGAGAATATAGTTGATAAACGAAACCCTCGGAATAACGCGGATTCGATGGAAAGGAAAACGCAAAGAGAATTCGGAACGCGATGAATTGAACGAACACAGGGACGGTACGGTGTGAAAACGAAGGCCCGATCGCGTCGAAAAGCGTCGCGGCCGAGTTAAAAGCGTCACCGTGACGCGAATATCATGGAAACGGAAACGCGAGGCGTTATCGTGGCGCGCGGAATACGGAATACGGAATACGGAATACGGAATACGCTATACGCGTCGCGGCTCGCGAAGAAACACGGACAAAGGTGTCGAAACACTTTCTATAGTGAATACATTTCTGTGGAAAGGTGCATCGACCCGCGAGGATATAATGGACGCGAAGTTGTCACGTCTCATTAGACGTTCCGTCGCCAATCATGCTTAGTAATTACTTGCCTTTTCACGGTACGCGTTTTTCCGTTGCTCGCGATGTCGATGACGTTACGAATCAATCGTCCCTTTGAATGCTGAATAATAATAATAATAATAATAATGTAAATGTTAATTAACAGATCACTTCACTGTTACGATAAAATTATTGATTAATACGCGCTATATCGCGATGGAATATTTCAACGTCGCACGCGCTTTCGAAAGACACAGAAATGGAAATGAAACCGAAGATATCTCGTCCTCCGTTTGTAACGCGTTAACAACAGGTTTCGATGTTGATAACGACTTGCACAGGTACGTCGAACCTACGCGTTGCCGTTGCCCCGTTACTTCCGGACGCGCCTAAGTTCGGTTCAGCGAAACCGGCGCGCGGAAAGTTCAGCGCGCCTGTGCCGAGGCCTCCGACTTCCTTAATTAACGAGTCGCTCGTTAATCGATTTCACTCGAACGTCGTCGGGAACTGCGGTACACCGGCGACACACGCCACGTTTCCGTGGCGCGAAATCTTGAAAAAGGTCACGCCGGCACGTGCACGATAAAGCTTGATTTTTCACGCTCACGATCGGTGGAACGTGCTTATCTTCCTTGAGAACGGTCGAGATTGTCTCTTCCGTAGATAGAAATAAACCACTCGATGACCTTTTAAATGGGAATTACGCGATATTACGCGATTAGTCAACCTGGACAGTGCGTAACGCGTCTCGTCGAGGGGGCGGCGGGGGGTCGATAGGAAGCAGCCCGTATGACCGACGCGTTGCGTCGCGGTAAACAATTAAACGATATCGCGGCCTCGATGACGGTGGCCAGCAGCGGTAATCGCGCTCGGCTGTTTGCATTTCTCTCCGGGCTTATCGAGCTTTTATCGGGGACCCGCCGTTAAACGCGCGGACGCAACGGAGATACAGCGTGCACGTGCGCGCAGCCACGCGGATCCGCGACGATCAGAAACCACCCACGTCATCCCTTTGTCTCCTATCTCTGCGAGGCCTCTGCGAAAAGTCAACTCTGCTCGCTTACGGAAAAAGGAGAAAGGATAGAAGTTTGTTTGAAAAAATTCCTCGAACCAATGTATCTTCTGTTTACCTAATCTTATTTTATACAAATAAGAATGATACTTTCAATATTGTGCAACTGATTGCGTCGAGTTACTTCCGTATCGGAAGATAGAACCGTTTATCGATTAAACTCGGACAGCCTGTGTTCCGTTGTGTCGACGGTGTAAAGATTTTGAACAAGTTTTCCGATAACACTGTTTACATTTTAGGATTTACAATTGAACGGCGCCGGTTCCTGGCATTATCGTCAATGAAGTTTGCCCTGGTCAGTCGTGTTGTCCTAACGGTCGACGATATTTCGGTTTCAGAGTCCTGGAACGCTGCACAAAGATGTCAGTGGTGCTGGTACCAAGGTCAGCGGAAAGACTGTCGGCAATGTCGCCAGTGCAGGCACTACAGCCCTCTCACTGCTCTCCGCCATTAATAATACATCCAACACCAGCCGAAACAAGAACAACATGCCTGTGTCCCAAGAGGTGAGTCCCGACGAACTGTTGTTGTTACCGTTTATCGCATTTCGGACATATTTTTACATGTCTCGCGCGCCGAATTCTGCGTATCACCGTTGATCCCCACCCGAATCGAATGAACCACTGTAATTCGCTTAATTAAACGATAATTATTTGAAATGTTTTCCCAATAAGAAACGATGCGATACAACGCGGCGATATTCTGCGAGACAAATGCATTTCAATGAAATCATTTGGTAGATTTTTCTCGCTTTCCGTATTTTGCCCCGTGAAATCACCCCGCGTTCAATGCGTTCATTATAGATTGTAATAGCAACGAAGCAACGTTTGGAAGAATAATGTTATCGGGTGCATTCCTTTGGTAGATATTTCAAATTCGTGTACCAATCGATCGTTTTGTTTCGCAATCGACTAACGAATAATTAAAAATTATAAATTATAAATTATAAATTGAGTTAAATTGCTGGTATTATTAATAACCGTTTGCTACGCTTTACGAAAGTTTTCGTGGCAAACGGATTACCATACGCTTTCGAAAAATTGTCGGCGACTGTTGGAACCTTCGGCTGGCCTGTGTTGATAAAGTTAATTTCCGAGCGTAATTACCCGGTTTCGTTATCACGCGCAAAATTGACCGACTCGCCTTGGCTGCGCAGCCGTGCGCCGTTTCGATCTGGAACGAATTAAGAGGTCCGGCAACTTTCGAGCGATCGCACCTTATTAATACCATCAGTTTCGACACGGACTTCGAGCCACTCGTTTTCTCGCCGACACGCATTACAATTAAGTAATTTAACTCGTACGCAGGGACACACGCGTAATTTGTGCACGGTAATCGTATATTCGTTTCGTTATACCCGACATTGCTCGAACGATAATCGTCACTACACGTTAGCTGCATTAAAAAGTTAGTTCTTTCCTTATTTCGGTAAGACTGAAGTTTCATTTCGAATAATAGTAGAGGTAGGAATTTATATAATCGTCGGAATAATCTTTATAAATGTACCAAAACTACAATATTATATTATAGTTAGGTTACTTGGACAGTATTAATATAATGTATATTACAGAAAATTTCACAAGGTTCCCTCGGTTCCGAATGTTGTCAACGGTCTCGCGTCTCGTGCACCGAGAATAAACGAATCGACGCGAAGAAACGTTTAGGTCGCCAACGTAAGGGTTAGCGAGTAATCGGATTACATTTTTTCGTGCGACTACGCAGCTCGCGTTCACGAACGTTATTACACGGCGAAGATGATCGAGTTTCGTTGCGTCGAGGTTGTTGCGCAACAGCAACGTTCTCGCCTCCTTTTGCACGGCAAATTGTCCGGTGCGTCGCGCTCACCTCGGCTCACCTCCCTGCTGCCGGCCACATTCCGCCGATAAAATGGAGGACGATGCTCGCCGCGCGGCGCACGGGCACGCGAGAACACCTTGGTGGCTTTCCTTTTATCTTGGATCGTGGATAATCTATAATAGGCCTGTCCATCCTCTTAGTTTCGATAAATTAATAGCGTGTCTCAGTTGTATTTCTAGTGTCGTTGATGGCTCTTTTTAGCCGCAGTCTCGTAAGGTTTGTAAGCTTACGCATTCGCAACCGCCTCGGGCCCCGGGTTGGACGAGTCCGATCTAGAATCCAATCGGCGGAGACAGTGGAATTGCACGCGACTCGGTGCACAGGTATTTCGAAGAAAAACAGTCGATTCGAGAGCTGGAAATGTCGATTCGATCTGTCAAGTTTAGCGAGCTTAGGTCAGAATTTAACCCGATTCACGGGCGTGCGATTGAATCCGTCCATAGCGGTTCCGAGATTGCGTGACGGCGCGCGATAAGGGTTCGCACGATCGTGCGAACAGATTATCGGGGAAGACGACGGAGGCAGAGGCCAATCGGGAAGCGGTCTCCTTGAGACGTCGCATCGATCCGTCATGCGATTCTCTCTTGTCCATTCGCGGGCGTGCGGTGTATCCCGTCCTACGCTTATGTAAACGATCAATGATACTTTGTTCTTCGAGCCTGCCCGTAACAACCGACGTATAAATAGAGTTTCCGACCTTGTTCAATTTTCAGAGCCCGCAATGCACCGCCACTCGTCAGGTGCGTAAATTAGCCCCCCGTCCCGCCGCGGGCCATTATTCTATTTTTTCCGCGGAACGCGGGCTAATTTCGTTCGATTCGTTCGAATTCGCAATATCGTATTTACGATTTCCTCGTTCTTTTTTCTCGCGATGAGTCGCTGGAGCGTCATCGAGACGAGCAGGAGCAAGAAGGGAGATGTTGCCCGCGAAGCGCTTCCGTTGGAAAATGTAACAGTTTGAAAGCTCGCACCTTAACGCGCCGTATATGTTTCGGTTCGATTAAACGACTAGAAATCGCGTCGGGTCAATTCTGAGGGTTCCGAATGAATTTCCACGTTCACCGTTCCACGTTCCCGTTGCATACGGTTTCAACGCGCCACCGAATACACCGGAGCAACTCGATATCGTAGAAAGGCTGAGGATTTCACGACGCGAAGATCAATACCGGAATTTCTTTTCACGTGCGTTCCGGCCAGCACTGATTCGCGGAACGCGCAGCTGCTGGATCGGATGAACGCGAGATCGATGGCGTGTTTCGCCCGCTTTCCAAACTTTCCAACCTGAATGGAAGTGGAAATCATTGAGCGATTTACTCGCGTTACACCAGCTTTCGATCTTAATCCCGTGAAAACGCTCGGCAATCCCAGTAACCGATGTAACCTGGAAAGATCAATTCAATTACCAAACGAGAAACAGGAAATTCTCTGAATCACAATTATCCCGCGCGTTGGATCACCGAGGGAATCGAATTCGTTGGCCCAACGAATCCGGATAATAGACGATCAACGCGAAGCGTTTCGACGAGGAATCGAACTCCAGGCAGAGTGTAAACGACAGGCGGCGGTCGATCCGAGCGTTTTCCGAAGTACCGGCACGGTCGATTTTGCGAGCAACGACGCGTGTCGCGGGTTTCTCGCTTTCGATAAATCGCCGGGAGCGAGTGACGCGAAACCTTTTTGTGCCCGGCATTCTTCGCGCGAGTTTTCCAGTTGGCGGGATCGGTCGCGGGATTCGGATGAAAGGAAACCGCCTACGCGGACGCGGCGGATCCTGTTGGCATCGTTTTCTCTCTCTTCTTTCGCGGAGAGGGACGAACGACGTCGGAGTAAAGGGGCGGAAAGGGTGATCGATCGCAGCGTGACGCGCGATTAGCTCGAACCCGTGAGTCACACCGTTTGGACTTTCTGTTTGCGTTTCGAAATTTTCGTCCAGGGGGGAGGAGAAGTCGATTCGCGCGCGCCCGGTCGGGTCGGTTACGTAACCGCGCATCGGTTCTCCCGAGTGTCGGCGATTCTTTCGGAATCCGCGGTGACGCGTGCGCGTCGCTCAACGGTCGCGGGATCCGTTTCATCGATTTTATCGTGCCAATTAAATACTTAGGTTTTACGGCGCTCGGATAATAACCCGATTCTATAATGGGTGGACGTAAACAGTTGAAATCCTGGCGATCCTTCGTTTCACCGACGCCAAGTTCACTGCACGTCGGTTCGATTTTTGATCGAAGATTTATTAAATCTA